CTCCCCACCCAGCTAAGAGGTGTCCGCCACATCCCCCAAGCCCAGCTGAGACCAGGGGGAACAAATCCCTCCGTTCACCGCGCACAGCTCCTTGGAGAGGACCGCGGAACACCGGGAAAGCCGCCGGCTGCGGTGCGGCACACCCACACGTCTCCAGGCTTTGACCTGCAGACGCAGCGGGCTTCGGGACAGCCACGCCGCGTCATCCCTTACCCAAGACGGTGAAGCATCGAAGAACCTCAGTGTGATTTTTAACAGTCAGGGGGACGGATGGATCCGCAGGAGCACAGATCTGTCGGAAAAACAGCTGCGGTCAGGGATGTTACCCGGTACGGCGCCGGCAGACCCAGCCCTGGAGAGGCAGAGCCGTGCTCGGCACAGGCGCGGTGCCGAGATTCGGGGCGGACAAAGCCCTGGGCCGGTGGACATGACAGCATCCCATGAGATGGATGCCCAGAGCAGCACTTTCTGCCCGCTGCTGGCCGAGCGGCGCTCTGCCCGTGCCCACGGCAGGTTAACTCATCTCAGGGACAGCACTTGGGAAGCGGGCGTCTGCTCAGGACACGCGGGCTCCTCCGTTCCCCACCACCCTGCCGGCCGCCTCCCCTGGAACCTCTTCAAAATAAGTCAACCCTTCCGGGTGCTATTAAAATTCAGGCTCTTCATTCAACTTACGCTAACGTTGCAGCAAGGACAACGTGCATCTGCCTGCTCTGGTCCGCCACAAGGACCCTTTGGTCCGCAGCCCCGAGCGGCTTTTGCCTGTTGATGCCCATCAGCAAGAAGCAGTTCCCTCAAACAGCACCGTTATTGCATTCGGTTGTTACGCCTTGCTTTAGTAAAGCACGTATTTTAAACGATAGCCTCTCTGTGCTCACATTTCCAAGACTCAAAGTCAATTCAGTATTTAAAAAAAAAAAAAAAAAAAAAAAAAAGAAAAAAGCGTTCAGACCTGTTTTAAGCCCTAGAAGCATGATTTTAAGAGCTGAGCGATAGGACAGACCTCGCACCCCTGCGGCTGAAGAACGGCCCCCACGTGCTGCTGCACGGTCCCTGCTCCATGGCGAGTCAATGCCCTCGCTTATTCTCAAAGAGCAAATTTTTTAAAGATCCATTGATTTTGAGGTGTTTGTTTTCAAGCCACTGCATAACCGCGCAGCCAGAGTCGCTCTCCCTTCCAACAACTTGACCGCACGTGAGACTCCTTCCACGTGGCACATACCGGAGCCCGAGAGCTGGCAACGCCGCCGGTGAGCGGCAGAGAAGCCGAAAGCCTCAGAGGGACGCGACCAGGGGACGGAAGAGGGGCGGGCGCCACCCCCCGATCCCAGGCTGCTCCGGGTAAGCCTCAGGCCCCGCAGACGGAGCTTACGGCCGGGCTCCAGCATTACGCCTCCGAAGCAGCCCGCCTTCCCCCAGCAGCCTCCCGAGGGCGGCCGCTCTCTGCCCAGCCCTTACCTGAGGGTGCAGGGTGCCCAGGAGAGAGTCCAGCTGGACGTCAAGGCAAGCTTCCAGGATCTGGCAGAGGCTCTGCTCAGAGAGACCGGGCTGCAGTTAGCGTCAGGGAGAGACTTGGACTCCAGAGCAGGACGGAGGATCGGGACCCCCGCGCTACGCCAGTCCAAGACAGGGACTGCAGGCAAGAGCAGGGATCACGAACCCACCGTCTCCATGGGGGGGGGG